GATTAAATAAATAGATATAAACCTATTCGATGTGTCACATAAAACAAGGAGGTATTGAAGGTCACGCAATCACAACAATGAACGGTATTCGTTACAATGTTGATTCAAAGCTACTGAGTATCTGTGTCTTGGTTCACAGTCACTGAAACACCACTAAAACGGAACAATAGAGCTATCTAACTAATTCTCTGGTTTTGTGTATGCTCCATTGGGCGTCTAACAAGTTTCGTAAGCTAGTTACAGATGTGTCAACTGCGACAGGCATTCATTCGACCTCATCGCCTGAGGAAGACTAATGATACAGCACTCGAACCGTATGCCGGGATCTACAGTAGTTGTGACTTATTCTCGAGACATACTATCAAACGTTCATAAACCTACATATATCACGATGAAAACTAACACATTCCATATAAAAAATAGATTAACTAAGAAAATAAAGTCTGCAGTAAGGTTTGAAGGGGATTTGAAACCAAGTATAATCATGAATTTACAACTGAATGCTCTTATCTTTATATGATTCAATATTCACATGAAAAGATCACTAAATTCGGCACCGGTGCATCACTCTAACCAACTGTGCTATCAATCCAATTAGGATCTGGCCTTTAATTTAGAGGAAAAATATGGGAATGGCATGTAATTTAGCTGCAAACTGATCATCTGATATGAATATCAAAGAAAGATCATCACAGTTAAATCACATAACTTAAGTAGCTGTGAAAACAAAGCCCGATTTTTTCAATGAAAACTACAGTTTCTTAGCAACTTATGAAAGAGCCGGACCACTTATAATAATTGGTATTTTATTTTCTTAAAGAAAAGAGTCCATTTTTTTGTAAACAGGAGGCTACACGTAGACTATGGTCTGGCCGGATTTGCGATTCAGAGGGAACGAAAAAGATTGCTGTTGAGTGCTTTTCATTCTTTTTTAACATGCAGAGTTATGGAGATGAACAAGTTGATGCCATGACAAATTGGAAATACAAAAATCGCTAAATGACATGCAGCACTTCAAGCCTGAGTTCAGCAGATGCCAAAACTCAACCTCTTTCCCAGGCTGTGTCTACTACATCACTGAACACTAACTATTGTGCATTTTCCTGCACAGGAAAAACCAAACCAAATTTTCTGATTCTGGCCCGTCTCCTGGCCGAATATAATTCACTGCGGGAGATCAGAAGTTATTGCAAGGTCACTGGAGAAAACCTAATGATTGTTATGATCCTTTTGAATTGCGCTTTAAGTATTCCACGATTATTGATTAAGTGTGGTTGTCGAAATTTCGGGTCTGCTTTCAATGTCTGAGAGCATTGAAAGAGCACGTTACTTACACTGAGCAGAAAACCGTCCCTCATTTATAAGATACTAAACATTTGTGTGAACAATAACCTCATGCGGCTCTGTGATATAGTTCACTTTTTCACCTGCTAGCAAACTTTACCCATCGTTTCAGTGCTGACGGAAATTATGTTATGATTTTTGAGTGCCCTACTGTTTTCAATTATTTCACTAAGTCATTATAAGCGGACTGGTCGAGAGCATAGATTCATTAATAACCGTGAAGTTCAAAGTTAATTGCTGAATTGTTTTCTTCCCTCTAAGACGTAAAAGACCTTGAAACAATGTCTACAGTAGAAAAAGCCTATCTTGGAAGTCTTCTATCGTTACCGTTTAATTATTGGAAAAGCGTTGTTTACAATCCGTTTAGAGAGCGCCAAATCTTAATATCACCTTTGTACCGTTGTACAGAGAAGTCCAATTTCCCGCATGAAATACAAGTTCTCTCTCGCTGTATTAAACTTATATACACGTTTGAATTACTAACGCTAAATTTTGTTGATTTTGAGCGACAGTAAGGCAAGTGCATAGATTTTGACATGCTACTAATAATTAAACATCCAATGACGAAGCGCTGAGTATTTAAATAACCACTCTGTCTCCCATCTGTAATTAATAACGGAAAACAATTTGGGCTGTTGTGCGATTCAGCAGCATTAGATACATCCATCATCCCTAGCTAGGGCCATTTTAGTCATACACATCCCCCGAGAGGTATTCAAGCCGACTCGGGGAGGATGAGTGAATTTGGAAGTACCGAAAAATGTTGCGGTTGACGACAAGGACCCATCAGGTCGAGAGGAAGAATAATCGGTTAGTTATATCGATTACTGTTATCTAAGGATCGCTTAAATTCTTTTCCACGGACAATATTACACTTGCCTTACATGTCTTTTTTCCTTGCTTTATCTATTTTGATCATTTTGAGCAGTGTTTAATTGTGCATCTAAGTTGTCGCCGTTACAGTTACAGAATTGAAAAATTCGTGTGCCCTCAAGTAAATATACATAAACAGTGTATACAAATTGAATGAGACTATGACAAATTAGGACACGTATATAGCTAAACGTATTGACATTTCGTATTTCCTAGTTTATGATGAAATTTGCGTTCTGAAATGCCTCAATTCTATAAGATGAGATAGAGAAAAGCAGGTCAAAGTCTGGCCGTATTATCATAATACTTCTCTAAGAAAAACAAATGCATCAAATTACTTAGGACAGGTCGCAAGCAGGTGCTGCCGGATGAAATTTGGCACCAATGAGAGATTGCGTAGAAGTCTAAATGTCGCTGTATTTTCCGTTTCATGATGCTGGTAAACCTCAAACAAGATTATCACCTGAATATGTGAAAAAACAGTCTATGCTATTCGACTCTTTCGTTCACAACGGCAGACGTTTTGGAATAAAAAGTCTTCAACACAGCGGTAAAGCTGAAAATTGAATCGAATTTACATAAACGCGAGTCTCTTCTAATTACCTATTGGATTCAATTTTCTTAACATTTCGAATTTGCTCCTTGCAACAAAAGTGTTTCAATAGTCTCCATTTTAGAGAATCTACTGACCAAAAAGGTTTTCTTTGGAATGCCTGAACTTGGCAAAAATTGAATTCGGAGGAAATCTACCACGCGGATGTAGTCGCGGGTTTCTGGACACCTCCTGATGAAAATTACAAATTCTTGACTACCTTTTTAAGGAAGGCTACAGCATATTTTCTCCTCTCCAACCGGAGGTTTAACAACTTCTATTATGAAAAATGCTTGAAAAATTTACCTCATTAAGACAAATGCATTTGGAGTTTAAAACTTCATCGGATCGATGTCCGTCCAAGCAAAATGAATGTTTTGTCTACCCTCAAAGGTTGCCAATTAATAAGTTGAAACCTGACGGCAAATTTGAAAGGAAACTTGAATCTGAAGTGTTAAATAAAGATTTGATTTTACGTAGAAAATCCACAATTACCATTATACTTCTTGAAAGGAAGAACTCACATACAAACCGTTATCATCCTATGATCACTTCTTCGTAATAATGATCTCTCAGACCGCCGAGAAACTGCTTAGATCCCCGAATAGATGAGCCGTTTCTGATTTTAGAGAGAAAAATCGCACACTCTCTTTGTAATTATAAGTCAGAGTTAAGACACATTGGCAGCCTAGAGCTAATGAATTGTAGAACAAAACTAGTCTAATTCACTTTTTTTCTCTCCGTTACATAGAAAGTAAACCTCCGACAAGGTAAAAATTGCATGTAACTTACACAAACACAAGTAATGGGGACTTTAACAACTGAGCGATATACTTTTTGATTGAAAAGAACAAATTAATCTTTATTAATGCGATGGAATTGTCTCCAGATGAGAAAAAAAAAAAGCAAAATTGACAACAATCCCCCGCAAAATTGAAAAAAATCACACCAACGCAAAGTTATTCTTGATTAAATATCTTACCCTAAAAAAAAAAGACAGTAATCCAGAACTTTCGTACTTTCGGCAAACCCCACGGGAGAATTGAAATAAGTAAATGCATTTTTCTTTCAGCATGCTGAGTGAAAGTGCTCTCAGTCTATACAAACGTCTTCTTAGCAATTTAATGTCTGGTATGAGTTGTGAAAATCACGAATCATGGGACAGGAGAACGTCTGCATAATATTCTGTAAAACTGTTTGCTTGAAAAGGAAAGAACTTGGACAGTACGCGAGGCTGAATTGGGATTATTCTCGATCTTAAACTAATCTGCTGATACGCTTCCTATCGTCACTGCATGGTTTGTTTGTGTAGTAAGCTCTGTGTAGTAACCTGTTGCGTAAAACCGCTACATTAGTGTACTTATGAATCGCTGATATAAAGTAAATATTCAAGGTAAAAATGGTTCCGATAAAGTTGAGTACCATACCACTCTTTACAACAGCATGGGCTTATGCTAGTAAAACATATCAGTGCAGGAAACAAATACGTTTTCAGTAGCTGTCGCGCATAAGATCTTCAAGACCTTAGAGTTTGTAGGTGATGGGAGGTTTCCAATACAGTGGGTACTATTAAAAGTACTGTTGTAATATAATGTTCGGGATGACAAGGTTTGCATTACTCGGTGTCCCACGATATTCCAATCATGATACTAACACATTCACTGTTTTCATCTCTCCTTTTAGTGGCTCTAGAAGGAAAGCCAGCGATGTCGCACTTGTTCACAGTTGGATTTCTCTCTTGTTTACAATTATCAGGTCTACTCAGGTAATAACGTTCAAATTTTCCGACATCAGTTTACTAAGAGATGTTTACCTCCATATTTCGCCTTCACTTTCGAAAGATTATTTCAAGTTTGATTTAACGTCAACAACCATTTAATAGACATTGGGTGACTGGTGGTTGCGTTCAAGGAGATTGTGAATTAACTTGGGTTGATGCGATAAATGTTGTTTACAAAGTTCATAATTATATATATTGCTCTAACTATAGTCAGCCTATGTTTTTGACAGCATGGCTCACAAACTTTTAACCGCTCTATAATTTTGCACTGTCCTCAATCTAGTTCACCTTGGTTTCATTAACATAATTATAAATCTTGATACAAATACCATTTTTAAAACAAACTCACGGTTCAGTAAGGGGCAGCCAAAATTTCAGAAACTTCTGCCGCTAAACCGCTTAACCGTTAAATTAAATCGTTTATAAAAATTTGCATAGAAAACGCAAATTAAGACTTCTCAGCTCGTTCCGATTCAGTTTGGACCTTTCGTCTGTCATATCATTTGCGTTTCTACGAGAACAGGTTGTCGTTGTTTTAATGGAGCAAGTATTAAATCGGCTGTTGTTGCATACGTAATTATCATATAGATTTGTTATCTTCAATTATTCTTGATAAAGTTCAAATGTGCTGTCGTGTCTAAGGAGAGCATGACAGGACGGAAAATGCGTGCACTGTAAGTACCTCCCGTTGCCCTATACAATGAGGACAACGGAAGGTACTTACAGTGCACGCATTTTCCGTCCAGTCATGGGAAGTTTTGGATCACTTTTTATCAATTTATGTAGTGTTCCTATGCCATTAACTTTGTGGATGAAACAAATGCTTTTTACAAGCTAAGCTTATTTTGTCCTACACACCTAACACGTTTGTTATGCCACATATACAGACATTTGTTTGAAATGATTCTTTCTCTCCATTTAAAGCTAATCTAGAAAAGAGAACACAAGAGATGTGGCAAACAAGGGAGAAGTTAGGCATTTATTTTCTCTTACTGATGCGTTTATTTTGCTTTGCTTTTTTTTGTTTTAGCCATGGCTTTGTGATAAGAAATACCTCTAGCACGGAGGAGAGCTCCACCTCAACGAGCAAACCACCATTCACTAAGATTGGGGATCCTTTTGAGTCTATGCTCAGCACAGCGTAAGTTCTAAAGCAAAAAAGCACCTCAATTTCAAAGGCTGCCATTATCTGTAATGAATGTGATGAGATGAATTGAATTTTCTCAACAAAGGAGAACTGAGACCTTGAAAAAGGAAGCAAAGAAAACAAACATCGGTAGAATATTACACACGAGTTGTTTTTTGTTTTTTTGTGTGTATGAAACGACTCTCTTTTCAGCACCTCTTCCAGTTATTCAAGTAGCTTTACTCGCCTTTTCTCAAAGATCAACCCAGAAGTAAGGTTGCTTTTCTTTAAAAATTTAATATGCAGAAAGTCAACTATAGACTTAGGAACACAAAGTCATAATAGGAGCGAAGAAATAAAGCCAGCGAATACACCGCCATGGTAAGTCCTTTACCTTTTTCTTTTCTTTCTTTTTTTAAAATGCATCTGGCTCCAGAATCACAGGGGTAATACCCATTTTGGGGCAACTGCCTTTGATTTTAAAAGCATCTCTATAGGGACACTTTCTAGTCCCGAGGGCTTCCTTAGAAGATATATATATATATATATAAAGTGTGACTTGATTTTCGTAGAACAGTGCTCAATACATAGAAGTAGAGCGAAGTATATATTGTGGGAGGAAAAAGACAAGTAAACTACAAGAAACAGGCTTGTAGGGATGAACTTGTAGTTTAATTGTCTTCTTCCTCCCACAATATATATATGGTGTGCATTCATTCTGCTCATGGTAACTAGCTGGACTTACATGCACTTATATGCTTCTTATTGGGTTCACAATTTTTGTTTTGCGATTCTTGTGAGGATTGAAATAACTATGAGCGACTTCTGAAAAAATTTCATCAAACTTGTCTTTACTTAACAGGGAATTCCAACTGAAGTACGAGGAGTTAGTGATACCAGGAAGAAACGTTTCTGATATTCTTGAAATTGTATTTAAGAACTATGACAAAAGGATTCGTCCATTTTATGGAGGTAAATATGCTCTTTAGATAAAAATATGTTACCTTGTCGTGATCATTCATTTAATGTATGGCTGGCTCCTCATCGGCGCAGCGAGGTAATTCGATTTCTGTGTACTGATTGGCTATCCGAGTGTGTGAGATGGACCTGTTTAACACCGCCCAGGATTGCACGATTTGGTTCCGAAGCCGGCTTTTGTTCGAATCATTAATCTTGTAAAATAAAGGCGGTCATTCGCTGCGTTAATCACTGTTCTGGAAAGGAGAGGGAGTTGCCCAGAATTCGGCAACTTTGAACCCATGAGAGGTGAAAAAAAAATTATATCCCTAATTTGCTATCTTAGTTTCTAAACAAAGATACTATTATAGCCTTGCGTTTTCCCCTGTAAATCATTCATGCCGTGTTTTCTTTCAGTACAAACACTCCACGTCGATTTGGACATGTTAATTCTGTCATTTGGAGAGATTAGTGAAACGAGCATGGTATGTGGCACTTAAATTCACCTAATTCCAGAGACTTCATTCAAAATCCGTTATCTTCAAAGAAAAAAATTAAGTTTCGAAGTAAATAAATCTATTGTGCCTTTTTTTGTTGCTACCTCTTTGTCTCAAGCGCATTTGTAATTTCCCTGTTCCTCTCTTAATAGCCGATTACTATTCATGATTACATGATATTATTTGATGCCCTTTGCTATCTTGCAGGATTTTGAGGTGGACTTATACCTTGGCCAGTTTTGGCAAGATCCACGATTGGCTTTCGGTATCAACAGAACAATTATCCTTGGGGGAATAGCATGCGAAAAGTTTTGGTTACCTGACACATTTTTCCTCAATTCCATCGATACAAGAATACACAGGATGGTTTTCGCCAACAAGAAAATATGGATAAATCTGATTAACGGAAGCATGATGCTAAGTGCAAGGTATTTTAGATTGTATTTTGATAAACTACAATTATAACGGAGAACAAACAGTCGACCATCAATGAAATCAATTACCCTTCTTGGACAGACAGTTTCTGTGTTTTTTTCGATGCTTGCATCGTTCGAGTATAGTCTGTTCAGTTGAAGTTTCTTTTCTTTTAACAATCTTTACACAACAGGTTGGTAACAAAAAATTCGTGCAAGTTGGACCTTAGGAACTACCCACTGGATGAGCAGACTTGTCACCTAGCCTTTGAAAGTTGTAAGTGTTCCCCTCACAAGAAACCACTAAGTTTCATATTGGGATGTGGCCCGCCAAGAAGAATTTTCTTATTATCTCTGATACGTTTTTTCCCATTGCTTTGAACTAGTCTGATATCTTGCGACGCCAGAGGAGCTGATATACTTGCGACTAACGACTAAAGTCTATGTGTTCATACCAGTCTGTCGATGGTTTTCCTTTTTACTGCTGTACACTTTGACTTAATATTTGATGTTATTACTATCATTTCGATATGGCAGTTTCGTATGAGGAAAAAGACTTGAAATACAAGTGGCGATCTCCGGTGGAGAGTTCGATCTTCATTTATGACAATGAAATGGCACAGTTCGATATCGTGAGCGCCACGAGATATCTAAAACATGCAGTCTATCACTCTGGTAAGGATAATGATTTTCACGTGGTGAATAGCCGTCACTAAAAGAAGTCTACTGCAAATACACGAATACAATACATCATAATTTGAAGTACGATACTAGTATTTTGCTGCGAACCTTAATGGTTTAGGAGGTAAATTCCATGGTAAAATGAATTAATACAGTCTGCAGACATAAGTGTCGAGCTATGCTAAAGTTTAAACTGTAAGGTGGCAGGAATCAATTTGAAATGAAGTGAGATGTTCCATCGAGAACAAAAATCGCAAAATTGCAAAGGAGGAGCAAAGATGGCGATAGAGTGTTCCCGATAATTTTCCTGTTCAATATATATTCATGCCAATGAGCCAACTACTTTGTAGCGCACAATAGGAATAAAAAAAATGTCAAGAAGACAGCTAACAATATGATACTCTGTACTTAATAACCCTCTCTAGGAGATGAACTGAAAGTAGCCAGCTACAGTTGTATCCCTAAACGTTCATATTTCTTGATCAAAAATCAACCTGAATTTGTTTTTGATTTTGTTTTTTAGACATGTTCTCTGGTTTAACAGCGACTATGATATTTCGTCGACGATCCATGTACTACATTTTCCAAATGTATATACCTTGCGTATGTGTTGTAGCACTCTCTTGGGTCAGCTTTTGGATAAATCACGAGGCCGTTCCCGCCCGCGTGGCACTCAGCATAACCACTGTATTGACTATCAGCTACATGCGTGGAAACGTCAATGCAGGGATGCCACGTGTTTCTTACCTGAAGTCTATTGACTACTTCTTACTTGGGGGATTTGTTTTTATCTTTATGACGTTATTAGAATATGTTCTTGTCCTGAAGCAATCTCGCAAAGTACACTTGATGAATGACACTAAGAAGGATGATTGCAAGTTAAACGAAGATAAAGAAAATCCGGTAAGTACACAGACGGTTACAACAGCAGTACATGTGTGACGCCCCTCTCTTACCTCTATTGCACGATTCCTATAGCCGTCTTCTTTTTTCTTTGTTTGTTTTATTGAACAAACTCTCTTTGTTGTAAGCGCAGTGATTTATTAAGAGATTTCCGTGTTAGTGTCAGAGGAGGCACTTTTTTGCTAAGGTGTTACTTGAAAAGCACCCTTGAGTTTCTTTCATGTAAAGTCACTTGACAAAGCTGTACACTTGGAAGTAGATAGTAATGAATACTCACCGAAATCACTTTCGAGCTGAACCTACCTAGTGGGAAAATTTAAGGTTTCCCTTGCAGGTTTATGTTGTTGTTGCTATCACATAAATTGTAAAGGTAACTATTTAACAGGAAACTCAAATATTTACCGAATATAGGGTGTAAGCCTAACATCATCTGATGTAAGGTAGCAGTAACGTTTCACCAAATATCTACACTATTATATTTTTTAGGACCGAAGACCTCTTCTTGTAACAGTCGCTTTTGACGGCAAAAGCTACAAGTTCAGACATTCTTTGGAAAACATGGAAAATGGTGCACGCTCTTCTTACCCAAAAAGGAAAAGCTCCCTGCACGATCGTAAACGAAAGCAGAACCTGGCTACACGTTTAAAACCCTTCTTTGCCAAGAAAGGAGATAAAAAGAACGAAGGAGTTATACAGAGAGTAAAACGCAAATTTAGGTCAGAAAAAGGAGTCCACTACTTAGACCAATACTCAAGAATTCTCTTTCCTCTAGGATATGCCGCCTTTTTGACTACCTACTTCGTTATCTACATGGTGAAAAAGTAACACCGCCCAAACGGGTGCAATTTGGAAAACGAAGCAAGAGCAGAAAATAATACTATTCATAAAGCATAAAGTGGACATTGGGAAGTGGGGTTAAGCGGACTGTCCTTTCAACTCAGTTAGAACAAATGAGAGCTTAAGAGCAGATGCCTTGTTTGAACGAACCGAAGTCAAAATTGATCCGTGCTAAGTTTGCGTATTGACGTGTTTCTAAAGTGGCTAGATTCCCCGCCATTACTGCTGCATTGAATGACTGCAAATCAGTTGTAAAAAGGGACATCCATTCTTAAAATTCAAGAATGAATAAAAGAGACAATTTTGAGCCGTCTGACATATGGATCGAAAGCCACACTACCTCGTGGTAAAGTGTATCGTAGTATTTTCATCGCACCGATACGAATTTATATGAAATGAGAGAAACAAAGAGTTACTTTCTATTGTTGCAAAGTGTTTCCTAAAAAAGATGTGTTTTTTTGTTTGGAGATACAATAGTCAGTTACTTTAAGCTGTTTGTAGTCTCTAATTAAGGATCATAGTTGGTGTCGAAGATAACTTACTTGGATAAAATGACAGTTTTTTTTTTTTAACCAAAGTCTAAAAGAATATATAGATGTATGCGATATTTGTGATATATAAAGTGCTTGATAAGGTCATATTTCTGTGTTAAAACGATTAAAGAACTGTAACTACGCTTCGAACAAAAAAACATACAGTGGAACCCCTCTAAACCGCACCCTCATTAAACCGGAATCCTCTCTATAGCGGACCTTTTTTTCGCCCCTTAAGTCTCTGTCATACATTTTCTCTATTTTTGACCTCAATAAACCGGAACCCCTTACTTCGGGAAACCGGACGCTTTTTTCAGTCCATAATCACATACTGACAAAGAAATTGAAAGTTTTAAGCTTGCCGCCAAAATCAAATGACACGTTTTAAAACGTGATTAAAATTAAAATCGTAATCATACAGCTGTGAAATCCCAATTAGAAGTGAGAAACGCGCATCGGCTAATTGCTCATTCTATCGCTACTGAAGCAAAAAATCTAAGTCGACAATCGTGCCGCTTTTGTTGGGTTGAATGAAAGACAACAATAGGGGTCAGGTTAAGAGAATGACATGTTGCTGGTGAAATCACTTGCGAAAACAAACGAAGAAGCAAACATCACTCTGAAGGCTGTTAGCGGTAAACTTGTGACCGGTAAATCAACTGTAGGTGATAAATTAAAGAAGAAGGAAGTATAAAAATGTATTAAAAGCGGCGATCATATTACCCTGTGTGTAACAGGGATTTTTTTTGTACATTAAATAAAATGACGTTAAAAAGTTTCCTTATGATCCTTGTTCTTAGTTCCTTTACTGATGTGCTTTTTTAGTGCTCGTGTACCATGGACTGGTACTTACAGTCAGACAGTACATTATGCAGCATAAAACTGCCTTATGGGTAAAACCTCAGTACACCGGACACCCCTCTAAACCGGACATTTCTTCCGGTCCCAAGGGCGTCCGGTTTTGAGGAGTTCCACTGTATTTAATCATAGCGAGATTATACAGAATTTGAAACGTGCAATGAATATAAGAAAAAGGAAAACTCCAAAAGGGAAGACGAAGAAGAAAAAACACCTCGCAAGATCATCAGCCATTTTATATTTGATATTATGCGTGTGGCGTAGTGAACCACTCGGAGTGGAGGTGCCCCAAGTGTCATTTATACACAGATCTATACGTCTCTTAGTCTATGTCCCAAAAATAAGGGAAACCTTCAAGTACCGCACACAAAGTGCATCTATGTTGCAGTAACTTAAATTTACGGGGGACACAGAAATTAATAATTTTATTCCCCTATAGAAGAAAACATCAACTTGCTAATAGATGCGTCTGATAGTTGTTTTAATCCCTCGAATTATCTGCGAGCCATAATGGAATAAAAATAGCGCGTAAAAGAGATCTTAAGAACAATAGTTGCATGTCGGTGATTCACAACATATAATGATGTTCAAGATTCAGGAAATGGGAGGGGGGGGGAGGGAGACGATAGGGTTGGATATTATTTGAAATACTCAAATCCTTCTTCAATCCGTCAAAGACACTGTGCAGCTAACGAGGTAAGATCACCAATTATGATAATTTAATAAACCAATGCAAGAGACGATGGATTGTTTTTGAGATGTTTTGTCAAGTTGAACAAGTTCCATTTTCCTTCCTTTAACCGTAGTGCGACTAAAGGGTGAGAAAATAAAATTTTATCTTGAAACAAAAGTCATTCAAAAGGGCTCATTTTATGATAAGATACTAGATCATCTCATTACCGGAGTTAGCTAAGTTCGACCTCTAGAAAACTACATTTTTTTCTGGAGCATTTATTCCAGGAATAAATAGCCGCTGAGTTCTCCAGTTCTGTTTTAAAAAGCAATTTCATTGAACAAAGGGTGTGGTCGACTTCTACTGGTGGACACTGATAGAGGAAGAGAACTTCTGAAAGTTTACGTCAGATGCCATTATAGAAGATATTTCTGATGAAGCACAAAACATTCAAGAGTTTCATTGAATCACCGCTCATTAACATTCAAAATCGTTAATACAACTGCGTTTAAAAATTCATAAGCACCTGTCATTCACAACTTGACTTGAGTTATGAAATGTAATTGCATGATTGTAATTTCCACGAATTCATTTTTAAGGTTTACAAAAAAAAAAAAGAAAGACTTTTAATAAAAATGAAATTATTATTAGTCTTGATCAACCATTTTTTTGGTAATGAAATATACGCAGGGTGTTACGCCAATTTTCAGCATATGATGAGTAAGTGTAAATTGTGTTGTTTTCCGAACCGTAACAGAGGTCAAATAGCGTTAGTCAAAAGACAAATGGAGTCCTACTGTGGCATCCGGGGATTTCACTGGGAAAAAATCAGGCATAATCTCAAATCATTTGACACAAAATTCAAACTGAGGTGCTATAAACTCCTTTTCGTCGCTTGAATAAGCATAGTAGAGTCAAAGTAATCCAGTGAACGAATACAGCCACGAATTCCCTTCGCTCTGTCAAAGGTAAATGTTATTCAAGGATGATATTAGTTATCATGACAAGACGATATGCAGATAGATCCATTTACTACAGTTCGTCGAGATCGCACAATAGTATAATCTCTCATCTAAGTCCAGGTCAAAAAGTACTAAACATCAAATCTGGGGCAGACGATAAACTTGGTGTACGATCGTAGACGATCCACCGCCCGTTAGCAGTTTTGCGGTCTTTTCACCCAAATACGTTTTCATTGAGGAGCTAATTCAAATAATTAGAAGTTATTGAATTTTCGAGAGAGGCTTTGAGTGAATGTTTTAGCTGTATTTTTTTTTATCATTCTTAGGGGAGTAAATCGTCGAATTTTAGTATTAGAATTCTTAACTTTCATAGGAAGCTTTATTTCAACGTAAGAAATCTTCTGCAATTAGGGAAGATACACTATTCATGATATGGTGGAAATGTGACAGTTTTCGCTTCAATGTTTTATAAAATTCGTCGTTATCATATGTTACCGCGAGAAAAGAATGGTAAACAAAATTTGGTTAAGAAGCCCCAAACAAATTACTAAAACTTCACGCTAGCGCTATCCCAGAACACTGTTAGCTAAACAACAACGAAAAAGACAATTGAGAATTTAAAACTTGGAAAGTTAGACGGACGCATAGATATAATCCTGTGATCATTGACTGTAAGTGAAGCTTAAAATTCAAACTGAACATAGAACAAAAAAATTGAAATTAGGTGAAAAAATTATGCACCATGAAACAGAGCAGTTCTTGTTACTTACGATTTTGCCTGAAATTGCCAGCTAGGTATTAAACTGCAGGAGTTTGCAAACGCAGCGACAGATAATGAAATAGTAATATACATTATTTAACCGAGTTTTCAAGTGATTTTTTTTTTGTTTCATATTTTTTTAGAGTCAAAACCTGCACTTCGTGTTATACATGATCGAACAATAGATGTTTGACTTCAGTACATTTCGTTCAAAAGCTAGGTCAAGGTAAACGTCGGTTCCCTTTCGGAAAATAACAAACACGCTTTTAATTTTCTATGCCCATTCACACAAGATTTGAATATCTCAATCATTCTATGACAATGAGTGATTGAAATGCAACAGACCCTCGCGGAAATACCAAGAAACTAATGATAAATATGTACGGAAAATAGCTGTATAAATACATTTGTAACGTTATTGTGTATGTGCATGTTTTGATGGGGGTTTAAGAAACATCACGTTCTTCGCATGTTTGATTCCTATGTGGTGCAATAGTGAGGGTGCCGCAAGATACCTTACGTATTGAAAATCATGTACACGTTTAATACGGTGTATTAGACGGCCATCCAAATGCCCAGGGCGGACATTTTTCAAGATCTAGTAGTTTGAGTACTTGTGAACAAGGGAATATTTATAGTTAGAAGCCGACCTAAAGTTTGGATTTACAGGCATGTATCTCACAATAATTTACCCTGAAACAATGTCTTCACTAGTAATGTCAAAAATTTTGAACAAATCCATTTGAAAGTGACAATAACGACAACATTCCCCAGAAACCTAAAGCTCCCCTCCTCTGCAAGTCGATTTAAAACTAAGCATTGTGGCATCCAACGGGCAACAATTATGACAACACTGGGTAATTTAACTGCACAGACCACCTATACGTGCTAAGTCACTTTCCTTGTTTTCCTTGTATGACAACAGAATCGAGAAGCTGGGCATCACTTACATGGCCATGAAATTAATTTCGCTGTAAAAGCCGCAGGCTAGGGGTTTTCACTCATGGTAAAGTAAACTGATGCGTAACAAAGTGAATTTTCTGGTCGTCTCAGCTAGTGACGGATTGACTCTGGTATAACAGGACCGGCATTCCTTCCGTCCCTGACTATGGCAGTTATTTTCAAAGCCCTGCATAGAAAGCGGTGCAGTTCCCACGAACAAAACCCATAAACTGTGTTTCTGTCTTTTCAACATGAGCGTCGCAAGTAACGTAGCATACCTAGGCATTTATCATCGCTCAGTAACAGAAAGCACATACACTACTGAGCACGCTAGAGGGACAAGCTAAAGAAAAGAAAAGCACATGCACCTTTTTAGGTGTTCAAGGCATCACCAAGCGGTAGCAACTGGACCCATAGAAAAAGATCACTAGTCCTCTTTACCTTTGAAAATGCTTCCGCAAATGAATTTAACCTTATTCAAAATCTTATTTTCAGGTGTGAGCGAGGAAATGTCATCAGGAAGGATGCTTGCGTTGGCGTTACTGATCGTCGAATGTGTTGCTACAAACGTGTTGTGAGTATTTTAAATGTTCAAATTGGTATGTACAATCCAAACAAAATAGAAGAAAAGAAACTGGATATCCATCTCTAAGAATATCGGGTTGAACACTTATCAGACATCAGAGGGAAATCTGTCCTATTGCAGTATTTTTATTTTTATTTTTAATGGATGTTTACAGGAGGGATAAAATCACTTTATACGCTATATATCAGATTTAAATGCCATTCTTCCTCACAATGGATAACTTGTCTAGAAATAACCAATAAAAAATAGTCTCTAAAATTTAAACATCACTATGATTACAATTAACAAAAAATGTAACTGACTCACAAGCTCCAGACTCTGTGGCTGTCCCTTGGATAGTTAGTTCTCACTTATTTTTCTTTCGTGCGAAGGCAATGATCAACTAATCGATAGCAAAGATTAATTTTCACTTTCCATTTCTTCACAAGAAAAAGTGACAAGCTCTCAGTAGCAAAGAATAGGACGCTTATACAACCAGGAAGGAATATGTCTGAATTAATCAATTTGATCATGAGGAACTACGATCGCAACATGCGGCCTTTTTATGGAGGTAAGCGTTCTTTTCGATTCAGTTTGTAAACAGGTATTCAGTTTCAGAGATTTAAAAGACCATCGAAAAGATTGAAGTAATATGGACGATTTTTCCATTCTTTATTATGTACCCGACTGCCGACCCAATCACCTACCCCTCCATTGAGAACCATCCACCTACCAACATACCCAGTAACCACCTAACTAGCAATGCGCCTATCCACTTTCCTCCCAACCTACCCACTAGCCAAATTACTGCTTGCCTACCAACCTAACATGATACTTTATACACAACTCTTCCACCATTAGAGTACCATGGAGCATTTATGATTTAGGGTTATTCCCCTGATTAGTGGCATGGCGGGAACGTTTAGGAGCGTTGATGGGACGGTTGTTGCCCATTGAGACTTTTCAGTGGCAAAGTACAGCCACTGGTCACTAATGTTGATATGCTAAATGACTACAACATTTCCTGCATTAATAATAGTGACCGGTGTTGATGTCAAAGTGGACATCCTCATCTTATCATTTGGGGAAATTCAAGAGGCAAATATGGTGAGTAAGATGGAAATGTTCATGCTAGAAACAAATGTAACAAGTTACAAAAGAAAGTGTGTAAACACAGGTTAAAAAGTAATGGTCCAAAGGTCAAATTATGAGTTATTCAAAGCCTTAAAAAATTTTAAGAATTCTCAAAAATATGATTTGCGTTTGAGCAAAATGAAATTTCCAGCATTTCATTAATCTCGCTTAACAACAAAGCATTTACTCCACATTCAAAAGAACACAAACCGAGCATACGAGTTAATGGGCATTTAATTACTTTTTGTCTCTTAGGAGTTTAGTATGGATCTATACCTAGGCTTGTTCTGGCAGGATCCTAGACTTGATTTAGGTCTTAACCGATCTTTAACACTGGGAGGCGACTTCGCTGATAAATTCTGGATTCCAGACACTTTCTTCGTAAATTCAGTTCAAACCAGTGTCCATGAGACTATCCTTCCAAACAAGAAAGTTTGGGTAAACCTGAATGGAGGTCACATGATGCTGAGTGCCCGGTATGATAATTTTGACACGTTTTAATTTGTGTTCCGATATCTGTATACGTTGGCCTTAGGCTAGGCGATGAAATCGTGAAAGGCTTGAAGCAAAGTAAGAGCCCTCTGGGTTCCAAGACGTACATTTGAAGGCATCTAATCTCCAGCATCTTCCATCTTTTGATGGGACAACGACAAGTGTGAATATCTCAATCAGCATTGCTGTTCACAGCATGATTAGTGTGAGACTTGGCGGCTAGTTCACGAGAAATACTGCATGCATTACCATGATGTTAGTTTGTGACGAAGTCTCTTTTCAGAGTGATTTTCTGAGTAAGACCTGGGGCCCGTTTCTTGAAGGTCGCAGTAACTTAACGGGCCCGTAAAGAAAGGGGTTTCAAAAGTTTTGAAAATTCATAATAAAAAGTATCAGCTAAAGAAACAAAATGGACGAGTTAGGGTGCTATATCAGGCTTCTCCTTAAATTTTGATTTTAATGTATGGTTTCGGGCCTTCTTTGTTACCGGGACTTTCGGGAAACGGGCCCAGGTCTCTCTTTTCTAGTATGCATGTGCATGTCAATCATAATTACTGAAAGCTTGGCGAATTAATCATAATTTAAATGATTTTTTTCAACATATGCTTCAATGTATCAGCAAAATCTTACAAATCTGTTGTTATATCTCGGTAGGATGAAATCTACAGCTTCCTGTAAAATGAACTTGCGCAACTATCCAATGGATGATCAGATTTGTCATTTAGCTTTGGAAAGTTGTGAGTAACATGAGGAGCTTTTAAACTTTTCACTTCAGAGTCTTCATTAAATGACTCGTTTTTTCATCGTTCCCTGCATCAAAACATGTCTGAACAAACAAACTTTGTTTCAGTTTCTTATGACAGAGACGATCTAAAATTCACCTGGAAGAAAGAAGTCGGGACTGAAATCTATATATACGACAAGGAAATGGCTCAGTTTACAGTCATTAACGCGACGAGGAAGCTCAAGCATCCATTATACCACTCAGGTGACAAACAGTGGGGGTGATTGAGATCGCGCTTGCATTTGATTCCGAATTTAGTAAAAAAAAAAAGGGAAGACTAAACGGCAGCTTGAAAGAGGAATAAACAAACGAAACATACCAGTGTATGGTTAACAGTCTCAATGAAAAAGCGTGAAGTTCACCATTCATAGATACACCGTATAAGGTGTTGACGAATACAACTGCATGACGATGTAAGTGGTTTTTTCGAATAACGAATGATGAATGAACTGCATGGGGAAACGGAGTTTTTAAGCACTTAAAAGACATTCTTTTAAAATAGCTACTGTATTAGTTTTTTTCTTCAACTATAACTATTTTCCTCCTCTTACCAGAATCATTCTCTGGTCTAACAGTGACCATACACTTTCAACGTCGTACCATGTATTACATCTTCCAGATGTACATACCATGTGTGTGCATCGTAGCTCTGTCGTGGGTCAGCTTCTGGATTGATCCAGGCGCGATTCCAGCACGTGTTGGCCTCAGTATCACCACAGTGTTGACGATCTGTTATATGCTCGGCTCTGTGAACTCAAATCTGCCGCGAGTGTCCTACCTCAAAGCTATTGACTACTTTCTACTGATGTCGTTTGGATTCATTTTTCTTACTCTGGTGGAATACGTATTTGTTCTGAGGTATTCAAGAAGGATGAAGTATGTTGGAAGCTTCTCTCCCGGTGAAAGGTCCCATGATGATTTCTCTACAGAGGATTGGGTAAGAAAGGTTATGAGATTAGAGTAAATGAAATCAGCACTTTACCGTTTTATATTTAAACCCGTCCAAAAAATTGAGTATAATCATGCACTTCAAAACGAAATTTCTTGTAGTGATGAACAATTCAACAGTTCATAGAAATTGCAAGTCATCACTGAGGGTATTAAACTTTAACACATGATAACAAACAGGACAAAAACAACCAAACAACAAAAAAAACAAAACAAAAAGAACAAAAAACAGGATGAACATCCCACTTGGTATTTTCTGTTTTCTGTTTTGCGGTTTATCAATTTTTTATCATATATTTATTTCATGTTTTCTTTTTGTCTTCTTTCAGGCTGATAACTATAGCAAAATGGAGATACGAATTTGCATGGGAGGCAAATCGTACGTCTTTACAGACTCTTTAGATAACGTTATAGGCTCATCCAAAGGCAGGGAAAACGGAAGAATTTTCAAACATAATGGCACTAAGAGACCGATCAAAACTTGCAATCACACGAAGCCAATTTTCAGGAAAAAGAGAGACAACCAAAGAACACTAATGGAAAAAATAAAGGAAACGTTTCGTTGCACTCTGGATGGGAATCAAATAGACAGATATTCAAGATTTATATTTCCTTTTTGCTACTCACTGTTCTTGACGATATATTTTGTTGGATTTGTTTTTGGTAGTCAAGGTGTTCACAACCTTCCTGAAGGAAAGACGATGTATTGACAATCACGAATTGCTAGCACGATATTCAGTGTCCTTCACAATGTCAAGTTCGTATCATCGTTGAATCTGCCTCGTTTTAGTGTTTAAGGACTCATTCGCAATCAAAGAGAAACTTTCCAGGCGAGACAAGACTCTGGATGAAGAAAGGGAGGGCTGTGACCTGTGATTACCCTGAATAAATCCAAATAAGCAGAAAATAAGTTTGTAGTGAAATATTTAATGCATTTTTTTTTTTACTTTTCACTTGAAAGAGGACATTTTTGAATAGACATACTTTTTTAACAACGAACATGAAGTTGTCACAACATGGAATGCTTTTGTCGCTGTTCACTTTGCGCTGGAGGATCTGCGCATTTATGGAAGAATCATCACGGTGACTTTTTGCACAAGCATTCATGATAATACTCAATAACACATAATCCAATTGGATATTTCTTGCACCATGAAACGAGGGCTTCAGGACACTTAAAACAATGTACATTGCGAATCAATCTTTAAACCTGCATAAAATAAATATATAATACAATCGCGTTGAGGATGTAAAAGCGGACGGTAGATATATTCTCGAGCTAAACTCTAAGCACCCTTCCTTCCGTTACAGCTGTTGTAAATAAATAACAAGGTAAGTACAGCTGTGTCCAGCCACGCATTTTCCATTTAGAAGGTAAAAGAACCGTTGGATCTTTTCTTTACCAATTTTTAATTTGATTTTCGCCATTTTTCTCAAAGCTATACCTAAAAAAAAGAGGGCGCGTATGCCATTCGAAGCCTTGTGTGTGTTTTAATAGTTTTACGTGAGCCGCCATGACATAAAAACATGCATATGCAGGAGATCAGTAATAAGACCTCTCCATCAGTTATTGAACTATAGACTAGAAATACAGAAAACCTCACGGAACACTGTCCCGATGAAACGGCAACTAAGACGGCAGTGACCAGCATTGCGCACCGACAGATCAAGTTGAAGTTTGTCCTGATCAAAAAAGAGTATAACCCTTAAGATTATCTTTCCGATATGATAAATGATGCTGGGATGATGATGTTGAAGAAATTTTTGCAATGTGTTGAGTCCGTGAATTTACTAAATAACGCATATTATTATCGTTATTTATCCGGCTTACTGGATACGCGGACCAAAGTCTCCAAAAGAAAGTTAAAAAAAAACTGGTAATTTTACCATTAAAAAGTTTTCTAGCTCAACGGCCTGCCTTAGGAGCTCTGGCCATTAACTCTATGGTATCTTAAATTACTCGATTATAACTTCATTCGTTGATTTCAGCTTGTTTTTCCCTAATAAAGTACGCATGCGCTTTCCACTAAAGCTCTTAGTCTGTTTTAGGACCTTCCATGGCTTTCGAAACTTATGAAAATCATTCACAGGGCACTCTCTACAACCTCAGCAGGAGTCGAGGCCGTTCGCCTGCGGTTTCGTGGTTGTCTGCGTCTTGAAAGAGACAGTATTGAAAAGAATTCGGCCTTAAAGTTAGAATTCAGGGCTGCGTACACAATTGGATTACAAGCGCTGTTAGCGAACATCAGCCACTGAGCAAATAGGATGAATGAGATGAAAGGTGGAGTAAGCTGGGACATAGTGAAGTCGACATACATATAGCCTATGTGATATGGCAACCAACAGATGGCAAACAACACCACCACAATAGCCAGCATCTTGATCACCTTCCGCTGACGTCGGTTGTTATCTGAAAGGATATGATTATATCGCAGTGTAAAGGAACGCGATAATAACAACAGAAGATAAA